AAAAAAAAAATCCCACACCACACTCGCTGAATGAAGTTATGCGGGAGTTTCTTAAACAAGAAACAATGCAATTACTCTCTTCAACTATGAGCCATGACAATAGCCTGGAATCGCTCCAGTAGCGAGAACCAGAGACAAAAACTAGTATTTTACTATCAAACGAAGACAATTAATGATACAACAGTGGAAAACAGCAGTGCCTGCCAAGGTACAGCCCTTGGGTGGCCGTGAGGGCTGGAAGCTACCCACAGAGCTCTGGTGCTATTGTCCAGCAGGGAGAGAGAAGAGAGACTTGTACATGTTCAAAACCACGTTCAAAGCCCCTAACAAAACATTCATCCTTTAACAGTTTGGGTTTGATATGCAAACAGAAAAAAACTCCTCCAGATCCTTCTCTTTTCCACAGATCTCTGCAAAGCAGGAAGATTTACCCCTTGCTTATACAGGAGCCAACAAGGTATTTCAGTGCAAAGAAGTCCGTGTGTTTTGCTTTTACCCCCACAGCTACACTTCTGCACCTGTTCCAAATAAGTGACAGCAGGCTCTAGGATAAGGAGATGCACCTGAGGACAGGCAAGCACATACTTCAGGAGGTGGTAACCCCAGCTGAGAAAGACTTTACTAAATACCCACTCCAAAAGGCATGCAGCTTGCACTCCTGCCAGCTGCCAGTCCATAAAAGAATACAAATCTCATTATGGGCATGTTTAAAAATCAAAAGCAATACATTCATAGTCACATACAGATAGTCAAAACACAAATGCAGACATCTCTTTTGCTAGGAGTAGCATGAGTGTAAGATGAAGATCCTCCTGAAATACTGAAACTTAAAAGTTTTCTTATGCTATGGCACAACAAGAACCTCAGACCAAAGGCACTGGAGTAGCAGTAGTACTCAGCTTCCACCGTGGAGGGACAAATGGAGTTCAGTTGTGCCCCAAAGCACCAAAACTATCAGCTAAATGGCAGCTCTGAAATTCTTATCAGTAGAGACAGGAGAAGAAAACAAAACAAAACAAAACATAGGCACTCAAGAATAGAAAACCCATCTATGGAATTGTAACTTGAACCAGCTTGATAGGGAAGGAGAAAATATAATTGAGCTTTATGCCACTTAAAAGTCATTGCTCTGATCACAGCTGCTTTGGGGAGAGCCATTTTGCCTTCAAGGTCTCTGGATCTTCTCTAATTGGTCTGGGACATCAGTGAGAAAAAACACAAACTCATTCCTCTTGGAGGTCTGAACAACATGTTCCTCTATTTTCACATTGACAGCCCTGGCTCCTACTATGCCACTTGCATTTATTGTTTACATTTTTAAGTCAATTTATCATGGCCCATCAAGTGGGTAATGGCTGAACTGAAAACACAAGCCCCTTTCACATCTCCCTCAGACAGCTCTACAAAGGAAACATTCATTCAAGACTGGACCATGAATAACCCCTCATTGAAAATAGCTGCTTGCTAAACAAGCCAAGGAAAGAGACAATAAGCCCTTTCAGAGCAATCACAGCCGAGGTGGGCACAAAGGAAACGCCAGTTGGACACATTTACAGTGTAGTATAAACCTCTCTTCTCCCCCTCCCCAAACACAATTCAAAAGATTAATATTAGAGTTCAGAAGGTCTCAACTGAGGGTTCCACTTGGACAGCTGCTCTTTGCATTTCTGATATGACACAATTGTTCAAAATAGACAGCAGTCTGAAACGGTGTACAGGAGTCAAAGGCTACAGAAAAATACATTTACATGAAGTTGTATCACATATGTTCCAGGACACACCAGGTTCAACAGCTGTTACACTTCTCACAAGTGCCTGGGGGCAAGCGCACTTTCACATGTACTGCAGGATGTACTTTGTTAAGGGAAGATCTCCTGTTTTCCTGCTTCCAGGACATGAGCTACTGGATTTTACCACCTTAAGATCATGGCTGATCCTACTTTGGGGAAGCTCTCCCTCTTGCCAGCAGTATCCCCGTACAGCCATGCATCCTTTCTACAGAGGATGCTGAAGTTAATGGAAGGGTCACCAGTCAGACTGAAACAGCCGTAACTCAGGATTCACCTGTGTACTGAAGGTAGATGCTTACAGTTAACCTTCGTATTCTTCCCACAAGTATATCCTCAGTGCATATGACAGGGCTCAGTCACAGAGAGGAATTACTTGAATTCCAGAATGCAAATTAAGGGCCACACAGATCCAGAAAAGGCTTTATTAGGAATGTTTAAGGTACAGTGTTGCATACTCTTGATCCGCACTGTATTTTAAACAGAGTTCAGGACCCAACTAAGTCAGAACACAGGCTTTTCAGCTACCAAATTCAAGTGGCTACAAGTTATATGCAAGATTAGCATTGGCTCCCTGCATTGCGAGACCCCACCATGCTGAAGTAAGCCAGACCGACTTGCAGAGGGAATTTTTTCCATGTTGCCAAAGAGGCTTTGCGCATCACCCCCAGTTCCCAAGGTACCGTAGAGCAGATCCGCAGCCTCCTTCCCTTCTCCTCATGCGCTGGGGGCATACTGCATGACTAGCCGGTCAAAATCATTCTCCTCCAAATCAAAAACAAAAATAAAATGAGCAAATCTTGAACTTAACTGCAAATTTAATGAAACCTGCACTACCACTGAGCCAAGAGAACACAATCACATCTCATTAAGGTATAAGGAATTCGAAGAAGCAAGATGGCCTATATCAAGTTGTTCAAGTTTTTCCATTTGTTCCATTTTCCTTTCTCTATCATCCTTACCTTCCTGTTCCCTCCCAAAATTCTCTTTTAGAAGGATGTCCCTCCTATTTAAGTTTATCTGATGGTAGCGAACTTCTGACCCAGACTAAGAATCCACATCTCAGAGCTATTATTTCAAAAATATCACTAGGTTCAGATGCATCACTCCTTTGTTTAACATCTGGCTAATATTTCCCAATATCTCCCATGACATCAGAGAAAGAACATGGACTCACCCCCCTCAGAACTGCAATCATGTTTACTTAAGAATCCACTTGCCCCATCAGACACCAGTATGAACCCATGATAAATCTGTTTTTATATTAAAAAGTGATTAGTACCTTTGCCTGATACTCCTTTATGAATGGATGATTTTTATGTGCATCTTTCAACTGTGACAAGTAGCGATTTGTTACCTGAAGGGACGAGATCAATTTAAACATTAAGATGCGGAAAACAAGTTTAAAACAAGACACTTCAGTGAACCTATTTTCAGGAGTAAAGATCTAAATTTTCTTAACATACTGAATGCAAACAGCTCCGAATAAAAACAGTAAGACCTGTGGAGAATGTACACTAAAATAGGCCTTAAATAGCAGGTCAAAGATAACAGTCAGTGAAAACCAGGCCCAGAACTCAGGAGCTAATTTTCCACCCAGGACTTCCTCTCAAGTGTACAACAACTGTACTTCCATAAACACTTTATTGAATATTGAAAACACAGGGGGTGGGGCACTGTTAATACCACTCCTGTGGAGAGCACATAAGATCTCAAAACCTAAGCAGAGCTACCAACCAGGAACACACAGCCTGCCCTCCGCAGCAGGAACAGGTTCATCATACTGTGCTTGCTGAGTACAATAAAGTAAGTCTCACCTCTGGTGGTTTGCCCAAGTGCTGCGACAGGACAACAAAGTTAATCAGGGTCTCAGGATGGCCACTGTCCTGAAAACAAAGACAATTATCTGATTCACCTGACTTATCTCTACTGTGACTAGGTGTAACAGCCTGCACAGTGTTGCAAGTGGAAGCCAATCTTACCTGTCACATTCATAACTCACTTTACTGGAGAAGGCAAAGCAGAAGAAAAGGTAGGTATTAACACTGACAACCCTTAGCAATGCTTTCATGAAACAAAACAGTGAAAGTCCTTGCTATTTTTGCTCCGTGTCCTTAACGAAAGACGTTTGAACTCTAGCTAATCTGCCTGGCAAAACAGAAAATACCTTGTCCAGTGCCTCCTGAAGTACCCCCTCTGCATCATCCCACTTGCCCTGAGCCATATAGCAGGCTGCTTGTCCATTAAGTAGGAGGAGGGTGGAGGAGCATTTGTCTGCCATCTCTTGGAAGATGTAATAGGCATCTTGTAACTTCTCACCACCCTGCAAAGGGAGGAAACAGATTAGCTACAGTTCAAAAGAACCACTTCAGATGCTTGAGGTATTAAGGCATTATGACATGAGACCTTGTAACTACATGAAGGTACAGACATCTGGCTTTCCAAAAAGTTCCAGCTTCAGAAAGGTTCTACATGCAGCAGCTTCCACTGGCTAAAACTAAGGTGGGGTCCCTAGTGGAAAGTAAGATCTTAAGGAAAACATAGCCATACGCTATTGTAAGGCAAGGACCATCTGTGAAAGATTTCATAACAAGGCCAAGCGTGTGCTAAAATAGTCTTAGCAGCTTCACAGTAGGTTACTGCATGCATGCTTCGGTCTTGACCAAATTTTAGGAGACTACTTATTTCTAAATACCTGATATCGGGACTGCCAGACAGTATATGTTTTTGGCTGCCCATTTCAAATGCTTAGTTGTAAATAAAATTCTTGCCAGCCAGTGGTGAGCATCAAAAGGCTCAATGGAGAGCAGTAACAAGGTGAAAGGCAAGTTTTTAGCTGTGCAGAGACAGGTTTCCTTGGATGGGAGGGAAGTTAAAGAATAAAAGACCAAAAGTGCCAAACATCTTGCTGAGCAAAGGAAACCAGTGCTGAGGGCAAACGAGGAGCTATGGCAGCTGGTTTTATCACTGAAATTGAGTTTAGCGAGCACTGTCCTGCTATTCCTAGAATCACAAACGTGCTTAAGGACAATCTGCTGTGAGCAGAGAATTACATTTTTGTCTGGAGTTCAATTGCAAGGCCTGGATGCTAGTCGCACTGCAGCTTTCCATTTCACATTATGATGTTTCATGAATTATTTAAACTGTGGTTTAGCTCTGCCCTATGCGAGTTAAAGGCTAAATAGCACACATGAAAAGGCCAACAGTCAAAACAGCCAGGCAGCCTGAAAAGTCAGCTGCAAATATCCTCCGGGTACTTGAAGGAAAAAATACATTTCCATGGTAACAAAGAGAGAGAGAGAAAAAAAAAAAAGAAAAAAGTACCCCTCTCCTCCAAAAACAAGACAACCCCCCTTTCCCTCCCCCTCTGCCAAACGACATGCTTCCCTGAAGGCACAACGTGACAAGAGCAATCAGGAATACAACATGGAGTCTTGTGCCAGTGCTGTGCTTCTGGACAACGTTTCCTCAGACGCTGTACACTAGGGACCCCTGTCTAAGCTACTCACTATGGCTAGGTTCACCCAGGCAGTAGCCAGCTGAGTAAGAGTTGCATCTTCGTCCTGCTCCTGCATCTTCTTAAGTTCCTTGCTGCAGAAGCAAAAGTGGGAGCCATGTAACAGAAAGATAATGCATCCTCTGGAGTTCTTTCAGATACAAACAAAAGGCTGCAGTTCCCTCTGTCAACTCTTCTCTTCCTCTAGCAAACAGCCACAGCAACCTGGTAATGTGGCACAAAACCTTTACGATATTTTGCTGAAACAAGTCTGTGGAAGAGTGTTCCCTCCCTGTTTAACTTCCTTTTGGGAAGCTAATAACCCAGGACTAGAGACTCAAATCACCCTCTAGCAAAGGCGAAATTAAGTCTAGGAGACAGCTTCTTCCTTTAGCTGTATCCAGCTAGATTATCTCCAAAGTTCTTGCATCATGAAGAACAGGAATTTTGCACAGTGCACCCATACCCACACACAGTTTCTTCTGCCCATTGCATGTGTTAAAGCGCTGCTAGGTGATCCAAATTCTCTTATCAAGGACTTAAAATTTTTTTAAGCCCACTGCAAGAATATTGTTCAGAAACAAAGGGGTGCATACAAGAGGCAAACTTACCGGGCTAGATCAAGCCTGTCGAGCTTCAGAAGAATTTGTATCATCATTGCCATGCTGCAAGGAACAAAGGGAAAGTGATTTTCACAGCTGCGTGCTCTACTGCTCCCTACACTTTGCTTGGGAACCTACTGCATAGGAGACAGATGTATTACCGGAGACTAGGGACAAGTCTCCCTGCAGCGGAAAACCAATAAAGCAGGGAGAACAATCACTGGGATACAGAACAGGGAAGCTTGCTTCTAGCTCCCAAATATTCTGTTGCTGTAACACCATAATGCTCATTTGAGCAACCACGAACAAGTACTGTTCCAAAAAAAAAAAAAAAAATCAAATTCTAAAGTTTCACAAAGGTACAATATACTTTCTATTGCAGGACAGGCACCAAGTCACTTACTGCTTGGAAGACAATCCTCAAAACAGTTTCTTAATGGTTTCAAAGCTTTTTAGAGACAAGCCAGATCTCTGCCATTTCTATGGTAACTCTCCCTAGACAACAGAGACTTTGCTAACACACACCTCAATGATGTCATATTGAATTACACTTACCATTCCAAGCTTTCCCCTTGATGTAGAGTGCGCAAAGCAGCATCAGGATTTTTGTCATGGAAATAGATGGAAGCAGCCATCAGCAAGAAAGTAGTGTTAGCTACATCAACACTTTTTGCCATTTTTTTGTCCAAGTCAGCAACAATTGCATCTCTGTGAAGAGCAGTAGTAAAAATTTGAGCGTTTTATTACTAAATAACGCCAAAAGATTTTACCCCCTAAAATTCTACGTTTTTGAGATTCGTGGCAGAACCACAGACAGCCATAATAAAGATTACACTTCTATTAGAAATTCTCCATAGGAAAATATATTCCCTGACAGTGCGTGAGTGTTATAACTTATTATCAGACTTACCTTTGACCCTCATTTGAAAGATATTGAGCAAACATCCTTACTGCTTGGAGCTCAGGACTAGCATTGGCTTTAATTTCATCCAGGACAACACCATATTTTCTCTGTTGAAGACAAAAAAGAATCTAGAATTTATTCATTTTAAGAACACAAGCAGGAATAGTTTGTTCTGTAAACCTTAGACACCACCCCTCCCCTTCCTATTTTACATCTCCCATCGCACTGTACACAGTCAGATTTCATAACCCTATAAAGAATTATTCCCCCCTCTACACTGTGTTAACAATAAAGAAGTACCTCTCAAAGAGGTCTCATCAGGTTGCACTGACCCTAGACACAACACATCGCGTTCATAACTGCACTACTGCATGTTCCGTGTCTGTTCCAGCGGACATTACGTTCCAACACTGAAGGAGGAATTACTAGAAATTGCACGGCACTGAATTTGCAGGACTCAGATTCACAAGTTCTCGATTCCAGCCCCACAGTAACGCTAGACTACTGCATATGCAGCATTTGTAACCTCACCTGGGCAATGTAGGCTCGGAATAAGAAAACATCCCTCTCCACCTCCTTCTCCGGATTAGACGGCTGACGGGACGACAAAAAAGACCTTTCTCAGCAACCCGTGCAGCCATAACCCGAGCCCTGAGCAGCGCAGTCCCACACGGACGGC